AGGTTACTGCAACTGCCTGGTTCCTCAGCACAGTTGCTTAGCTTTACACATCACAGGAGATCTAGGGGAGCTTCAAGCAACCACTACTCCCATTCTTTGAAGTTCTTTGGTGCCTCAGTTTCTTAACACTTCTGAACATCAAGATTTAGAACAGAATGGAGAGTTTCTGAAAACTACATCCATAAGTTTTTCTTCAAAGAGTATATGAGAGGCAAAGTGATGGATGGAACTAACCCTTGATCTGGGGCACGGGCTTAGCTGTGCAGCGAACTTGCTGATGATCATAGGTTAATTATTTCACATCTTGCTTAAACTTCTTTCAAAGTAAGATCAAGCCCAGGTCTTATGATGAAATCGCTTTTCAAGGACTTGGTGGTATTATTCATCCATATATAAATATGTGTGCAGCTGATACTGAAATCTGCTATGTCAAATGATAGCAGTAGTGAGGATATAACGTTCTTCCCCCCCAGCACAGTAGTGAAATTTCTGCCTTTGAAGTGCATGTGACTTATGAGAGGAACTGCCAGTCTTTCAAAATGAAACAGCTGGTGGACTCTCTGACTTTGTTTTGATTTGCCCAGGCATGTTATGAGGATGAATAGATTAAAGGTCAGATTGTCTGCAAGGGAGAGGAAGAATCAACAAGTTCTGGAAAGCTGATGGACTTTGTTTGCTTTGCATGGTGGTCTTCGTGACTACGGGGAAACAAGAAGGTGTTCCTGTGCTTTTATTGCCTGTACTAGTAGAACCTTTTGATGTTTACGTATTTGCAGTATATTTTATATACTGTCCTTGGTTGAACTCTCTAATTGCCAAAAATAGCTGAAGTATTTAACTTTCTCCAGAGTTGATGCCCTCCTAAGTTGACCTAAAGAATCCTAAGGATATTTCAAGGTGTTTATCTGCAAATTTTGGGTGACAACATTTCATTAGTTAAGCTGCAGGTAGTCCTTACTAATGAAGAAGTGTTTTCAGTAATAAAAAAAAAAAAATCTACAGTGCAGCCTCACAATTTTAAAGTAAACCCCAGCATTTAAATATAATGATTAAGAGTAATTATTTTAACAACACTAAGTAGTGACAGAAAGTTGTTTATTGTAATTATTTGTCATCTTCTCAGAGGGGCTGCTAATTGCAGAGAAATACCCATCTGTTAGAAATAGGCTTGTTCAAAAATAATAGGTAAATTAATCATTATTTCCCCATACAGATTGCAGCCTTTAAAGTAATGTCTGTTCTCCTGTATAATAAGGTAGGACTGCTGGGCGATATCAAGGTCGTGCTGCTGTTGTGGTTTAACCGCACACAGCTGTGCTCTCACTCCCTCCACAGTGAGACGGGGGAGGGAATCACAAGGGTAAAAGTGCAGGAACTTGTGGGTTGAGATAAACACAGTTTGACAGGTAAAGCAAAAGCTGCATGTGTAACTAAAGCTAAATAAGGCATGTGCTGCTTCCCATTGGCAGGCAGGTGTTCAGCCATCTCCAGGAATGGAGGGCTTCTTCATGCATCTTTTGGGAAGACAAACACTGTAACTCTAAACTTCCCACCTTCTTCCCCCAGCTTTTATTGCCAAGTGTCATTGTATGGTATGGGATATCCGTTTGGTCAGATGGGGTCAGCTGTCCTGGCTGTGTCGTCATTCCCCCCCCCCCACCTTCTTGTGCATTCACACCCTTCTTGCTGGCAGGGTGGTGTGAGAAGCAGAAAAGAGGCTGATGCTGTGTAACCACTGCTCAGCAATAAAGAAAACGCCCCTATGTTATCCAAACTGTTTTCATCACAGATCTAAAACATAGCACTATACAAGCTACTCTGAAGAAATGTAACTCTATCGCAGCCAAAACCAGTATAGCTATGCACAAGACTTGAAGGAAACAAAATGTAAAAAGGAGCCTCTTCATCAGTTTAAAGGAAACCTAATCTTTGGGACCATGGCTGTGGTCTGAATCTACTATAAATGTTCAGACTCAGTGTCCTTGGTGTCATTGTGAGATGGCCTGAATAGTGAGCAATAAACTTCTGTATTATAATTCACATTTGAAAATATAAGCTCAGGAAGTAAAACGAACAAATATCTTGTGTAAATCTTTAAGCCAACAGTCTATATAAAATGACAAAGGCACTTCTAGGAAAAGAAAGCAAATAATGTTTTTCTAGTTAGTAGGGGACAGCATGTCCTAAGATAACACAAGCTTAAGGGGCAGAAACAAGTGTGGTTATTAAAGGCTACTGGGTTCTCAGTTCATACAAATTGAATTCTTTCATGGTCTGAAGGGCTATGGAAATCTAGTGAAGAGTATAGACTGTTGAAATAAAATTAGCATGTAAAGTGATTTTATATATGCAGGAATATAGCCACCAAGTTTGTATTTGAGGAAGAAATCTCATTACTCATCTTGTAAAAGAAGTAATTCTTAAATTCCATATTTGCTATCACTGACATAAAGGTTCTGCATATGAATAGTTTTTTTGTGATTGCCCAAAGATACTGGATTATTGAATTGACAAAGATCTGTTCCATTCTCTTCTTCTTTTTCTTTTATAGGGTAACAGATTTAGGAAATATTAAAAGAAGATTGTATTTATCAACCGTCCACAAGGAGTTGTCTGTAACCCCTCTGCATGCAAAAATTCCTCTATTTACAATCAAGCGCAAAATAGTAGGTACCTTGGGCATATTCTTTGAACTGTGATTGAGAACGCTTTTTTTATCAGTAATGTTTTATGTAAGTTTATACACCTGTTGAAATTACTGTTTCGTTTAGGACTCAGTTCCTGCCGATTCAAGATACATGTTTATGTCCCCTCTACTGGGTAAATTTTCCAAGAGTAATGCTGTTTGTGATGTGTTTACCTCTCACTTCTGCTATCTATTCAGCCTTTGTAAAGTTCTCTGTGTCTCTGATACTTCATTATAGTGCTCCTGTTCTTGTGTACCTTCTCCTATCCTTTTATTACATTCACTGGAGCTGCAGGTAGACTGTAGCTGATGGCTACTTTCATGTGCTTCAGGTTCTTCCAGATTCTGATGTATGTAAAACCATGTATATGTTAAACAGATGAAAATAAAATGATAGCCATCAGCTTCTCCCTCCTCCCTTCTCCCACACCCAGACACAACATGTGGTAATAGCTGTCAGGATACAAAACCTGATGGTTACCATATAACCTTGTAAAGACTCAAGTCTGAAATACTGCTTCAGAAAATCATTTGGAGATGAGAACGGTTAGATGTCAAATATCTTAAAATATAAGTGTGCACCAAGAGATCTAGATAACACTTAGTATACTAAGCAGCTGTGGATTTAAGTTTAGACATGAGAGGGAATATTTTAGAGAAACCTCTGAAGTTATGATTTCTTTTAAGATAGTTTGGGTGAAGACAGCTGTGATAATGTTAGATTTCAGGAGATTTCTGCTTTGTGGGAAGAACTGATTGGATTTTTTTCAAGTTAATACGCATCAGATCATATCCCTGAAGTTGCCATTATTTCAAGATCCACTGAAATGAAATTATTTTTCTTCAGTATAATTTTAGTTAGTTGGTCTTGGTGTCAGGCTAGCACAAATGTTTCAGGATTAAAGCATGCATTAATGTACACCAAGTTAAATTCAATCAGAATATGAACTTCAGTGATGTGTTTTAATTTAGATAATAAAACATTCATCAGAGATCTGTCTAAATGCTCTGATCAGTTATAGTGACAAAATATTTTGATAACCTTAACACTTGACCAACCTTTAAGAGTAGATCTGTATTTCTTAGTGTCATATCTGTCTTCTTTTAAATGGTTATTTGCCTTTTTATTGTTGCTTTTACTTAAAGGAGGGAATATGCTGCTGCCAGTGATTAGATAGATCTTTTACATGGCTCTAATAGTTTAAGCTATTGTATACACAGGCTGACCATTATTATCAGTATGATTGATTGTAAGGATGTAATATGTTGTTTGTTCCTTTAGTAGAAGATAGTTTACCTTTTCATATGCTAGCTTCCTGTGTTGTATTCTTACAAATGATGCTATTTTTCAGCCTCAGCAATAGAAATATCATTTATAATTAAATACTGCATTTTCCATTCCATTGCTTCAAAACACGTTAACTTTCCTTCCAAAATTTCAGACTTAGAAGCTGAATAGTAATGTACATACCTCATTTTTTTTTCTCAAAAACTATTTACAATTTGGCATTTAGAAACTAGTACTTTGACTTTATAAGGAAATAAAGCATGTACAGTCACTATGTCTTAGTACTCTTCTCCCTTAATAAAACTTCAACCCATTAGTCAACTAAATTTTAAACATGAATAATCATATCAGGTTCTGCAAATTTCATGGAAATGGTTGCATTTCTTCTCAAGGCTATCTCTGTTTATTTCCTGTTATAGAAGATGTCTTAGCATCAGCTCATCTCTCAATAAATATCCAAATCGATGAGGAGAATTGTTAGGAACACCAGAACTATGAGCATATGTGTTTTTAAACATCAGAGACTCTAAATGGAAAACATAAAGCCATAAGAAAACATTTTGTTAATAGTTCTGCTTGGCATATTACTTTTTTCATATGAAACTTCTTTTTTTCTAGAAGGATAATGGAATTATAATACAGTCCACAAGCAAAGTAGATACCTGTAACTGCTTATTTCTGTCTTATAAAAAACAGCAATGTACAAGTGTTGAATTAAATGGAAAAAAATTGAAACAGAGAGAATTTTAAGAGCTACAAGGATAGTGCAAGAGAATGTAACATGTTGATGTTAGTGTTCTAACAGTACTTCCTGAAACAAATGGAATAATCTAATAAGAATTAAAATATGTATTTAAGTAGGATCTGTAGCAATACAGACAGTTGTCATTATCTGATTTGTCTTTTGAAAATATCTTATCAGGAATGGAAAACATTTATAAACAAGAAGTAATTTCAAGATGTTATGCTACACTGGGGTCTTGTCCATACTAGAAATTTATCTGATACTTTTCAGCATGGAAGGGGTGCAGGCTTTGGAGAGGTCATTTTTATGTGAATCTCAAAAAGAAATTATCAAAGAATCTCTAACTATAGCCCTTGGAGCACATGAGCTGCAGGAACTGTAACTAATGAAGTAATACTTAATAACAATTTTTTTTTCCCCAGAAAACCTTCAATAAAATACTTTCTTACAAGTTGCTTAGAAATAGCTGTAAAACGTGTTGTGGATATTCTGGGTAACGGAGTTCACTTGGGCTGGCATTCGGTAGGTCGTATGTACTGATTTCTTTGTATAAGTAATTGTTGTAAGTGCAAATACAGCAGTATCTTATTTTTATCAAAATGTCACACATTGTGAATCGCAGCCTGTGAGAATCTAATACTGCACAGAGACTTCATTTATAGAGAACTATACACTAATACTCTTCTGCAATGATTAGTGTTTGGGTTTTATTAAAGAGTATTGTTTCTCTTTTCTAGTGGTGCAATATGTGCATTGACTTGGTAGCATTCACCAGTGAAATATTCAGAGGAGCTGTCTTCCAGTCTTTGGATGGAATTATTATTTCAGCTAACTGTAAACTGAGAAAGATCTTCACTTTAAAATCCAAGCCTCAAGATACGGCTGAGGAAGATGGTGTGTTATAATTACTATGTAGTCTTAATCATAACTGTTCATATTATAAAATCTAAAGCCTCTTAGTCATTGGATTGGCAATTTGAAAGATCGTGGTTTCATGAAAATTAAAGAGGTAGTACAGCATATTAAATCTGCTAGTGTTGGACGTTAGGCAAGTAATTAAATGTATGTGTATTCTTCTGTTTTAAACGTTGACTTCTTTAGAAGTATTTTATTGAAGAAATTCTAGCAAGATTTATCAAGTAGGGAGCTTGTTTTAATAAGCGTGTCTTATGATGATAGGAATCAGGTTTTGGCCAAGAAGAGTGTGTCTGAAATAAAAGAAAAGAACTTAGCAGCATTTGCTGTTTGTTTTCTTAATTTTGGATGTTAGTAGCTGATGAAAGATTTCTTCTTTAAATAATCCAAAACAAGACTATAACAAAACATTATTATATGCAACAGAGCTATAAAACTATCATAAACAAATATAAACATAAATGTGTGATCTTTAGTCCATTTATCCTAATGTGTCCTTGTTCATTGTGAAAGTAATACTGGTGGTAAGCTGAAAAATGAGAGATTAAATTTGTAGTAGAGCAGGATATTGGTCAAAGGTTTACCAGTCTCCAAACTAGCATCATAATCCTGAATCATTGTTTTCCAAAGCAGAGAACTTCATTCCTCTCTGATATTTGTAATAATAGAGGAGGAGTTGAAAAACACAGCTGGCATTTTCCTGTTGTAGAGGAAGCCTAGGTATAGTTCAGCTTCAGTTTCATTCAAGTTTTCATTTTGTGGCTTTTAAAGAACACAGCTGAAAAAAAGGGCTCTGGTTTCTGAAGGAGGAATAGTAAGCAGTATTGTAAGTGTAACAAAATGTATCTTCCGTTTGGAAAACCTAAACCAAGAAGGGAGAGTATGTCATCATTGTGATTACTCCTTTTGTTTTGTTGATGAGGTTGGAAAAAAGTATTCGTTAAAAAAAATTACTACAGAGAGAATCTGGTAAAGTCTCAGCAGAAACTGCAGTCAGAGGCCTCCCTGGCTTTAATTTAATTCAATCCCGTTGTTGCATTGTTTTCTCTCTTCCATTCTAAACAGTTTTTGAACTGTGTGTAAATGCTCTAAATGAGTTCCAAAATTCCAAAATGTAGTTAACATAATGAGTAGACAGCTTTAATAAACTGTATGCATGGTAAAATATTACACTTTTAATTACTGGAATATCAATTCTATGATTATTGCACAGCTGGTGGGCATTAGTATTTTCTGTATGCTTATGAAATTCCTTATCTAGGCAAGTCTTAAATTTACGTTACAGCTCACGGTTTTGCTGCATTAAAATAACTCTACACTTCATACCCAATTACAGAAAAACAATAGTAGTTTTGTTATTATTAATTAACTTTCAGTTAACAATCATGATCTGATAAAGCTTTTTTCCTCTCAGATGATTGGACCAGTTAGTTGAGCTCCACTGAATGCAATGACATTGCAACTTGTAATGAGGGTAGAGTTCTTTGATTAAACCTCCTTGGTGGTCGAAGTAGGGATTTCAGGGCGCTATGTGTGTGTTACTCTTTCTTAGTAGCTCGTATACAGTATGTTTTGTGTTCTTAAAATGATGGCAAGTGGAAAGGAGAAACCACGCATACTAAGAAATTATTTCTGTATGAGAACATTGAGATAGAAGAGGAAAGAATTCATCTTCTCTGCCCCATGATATTGAGGCATACAAGCTTGATATATACCTAGTTTCTGGTTTCCATAGGAATCCTGAGGTTACGTATGGGTTTTTTATCACTGAGTATTGTCTTACAGCAGTAAATAATGTACCAGCTTGGTGAAAAAATTGTTGCTAGCATTTATCTTACTTAAATAAATGAGGCCACTACTGAAATACAACATGAGACACTTGAATTTTTCTATTCGGATCTCAATACTTGATGCATTATTTGTGTTTGGTTTTGGGTTGCTTTTCTCTTCTTATCCTTGGAAAAGAGGCTAGTATTTGTTACCTTACTATATTCAAGTCTTAAAATTTGGAGTGAATTTGCATCAGAACATCAGGAATGGTTCTTACTCTGGATACCTTTCTCCGTAGAGAATAACTTTCATAAACTCAGTCTATGTTGATTAGCAAAGGGAAAGCAGAGACAATCAGATCACATTCTACTGGTGCCTGGTGTCACAAGAATAGATAGGTTGACTGCTTTTTAGTTTATCATGAAAGTGTATGGTGTCCAAAGTTTGGAATTAAAGCTTGTCAAATTCTTTATTTGCATATGTGGGACTTCTGTTTGCTACCTCAGTCCCAGTGATATCAATACTATTTTCAGATGTTCATTTTGTCTGAAGATCAGTATATCAGTATTAGAATTAAAGCTGAGTTTTAATAAAAGTTAACAAAACATATTTGTGATTTTTGTTTTGGCTGTTCACTTGCCAAATCAAAGAAGCTGATTTACTATGGCTATTCCAGCCATTGGTGCATATTTTTTAGTTTAAACATATTCAATTTTTTTTGGCCTAAAAAAACCCACAATATCATTTTAAAATTCACATGCCTGTTGTCTTAAAAGTGAACAATTGCAGCAAATTTTTCAAATTACTGTAATCTATTAAATTGTTATAACTATGTGAACTAAAATATATGTAATCTAGCAAATAATGTAAGTCAGATTTAATTCTGTTGTTTCATCTGAGTGAAGTAAAGCCTGTGTCTCTTGATTCTAGATATGTGCGTTGTTCCATATGAGCCCACAGATGTTATTCCTCGAACCTGCCAGCTAAATACAGATGTGCCACAAGTTACACAATTGCTGAACCTGACTAAAATTCACAAGCCAGAAGTAAAATGCAGCAGATATCCAGTAACAGTGCAAGAAACAGGTATTCTGTTGTACTAAAATACTGGTAATATGATCTATACGGTATGCCTACAAATAAGGGATTTTTTTGTAAAAATGCATGTGAAGAGGTTTAGTGTCTTAAAATAAAACACGACAACTCTTGCATAGCTGTAATATCGTGAGCACATAGACACATGTCTGTTCTATCATTTCTGAGATCTATGTCCAGCCTGAACAATTCTAGTTCAAGCATGGGATTTATAGACATACCTCAAACATTGTTACTATGTACTTTTTCATGAAAAACACTACAGAGCAGGTAACATGCAGGAAACATGGTATTTTGCTAAACAAAGTTTCATTTCACCGTTTTACTTCTTGTGGCCGCTGAGTTGAAAAAATATGAGCTGAGGACTATTGTACTAGGTAAATGTGTAACATGATACCATGTAAAATTTAGCTTTGATAAATGCAAAGGATTATACATTGGGGAGAAATGTTAACTACGCTTAAGCTTTAAAGTGCCAAAATTAAAAGAGTCAAGGAAGGAAGGTTATCACCACCATAGATATAGCCCAGTGGAATTCTAAGATTAATATGTGGATGAAAAGCTGAACGTGAGCTGACAATATGCACTCACAGCCCAGAAGGCCAACCGTATCCTGGGCTGCATCAAAAGCAGCATGGCCAGCAGCTCGAGGAAGGTGATTCTGCCCCTCTGCTCCACTATGGTGAGACCCCACCTGGAGTACTGCCTCCAGCTCTGGAGCCCTCAGCGCAGGAAAGACATGGACCTTTTGGAGACGGTCCAGAGGAGGGCAACAAAAATGATCTGAGGGCTGGAGCACTTCTGCTATGAGGAGAGGCTGAGAGAGTTGGGGTTGTTCAGTCTGGAGAAGAGAAGGCTCTGGGGAGACCTTATTGTGGCCTTCCAGTACCTAAAGGGGTCTAAGAGAAAGATGGCGACAGATTTTTTTAGCAGGCCCTGTTGTGATAGGGGTTTACACTAAAAGAGGGAAGATTTAGACTAGATACAAGGACAAAATTTTTTTACAGTGAGGGTGATGAAATACTGGCACAGGTTGCCCAGAGAGGTGGTAGTTCCCTGGAAGCATTCCAGGTCATGTTGGATGGGACTCTGAGCAGCCTGGTCTGGTTGAAGATATCCATGCTCATTGCAGGGGGTTGGACTAGATGACCGCTAAAGGTGCCTTCCAGCCCAAATGATTCTATGTAGCTACATTTAAAAAAAAAACTAACTTACTGAGTAGCAGGAGATTCGAGTTCATATGAAATGGAAAAGGCATCAAACCTTTAAATAAATCTGTTTTGCATTATTACCTGAAATACTTCATACATTATCAGTTAAACCATCTCAGAAAAGATTTTACAGACAGAGAAATAATTCAGAAAGAAGCAGCATGAATAAAAATCTTTCACATGAAGATATGCTGAAAACATTAAAAATTGGCTTAAGGGAGTTTATAAAGTAACTAGTGATACTAAGAAAAATCAGTAAATGCTGCTTTTCCTGTATCACGGCACAAAACCAAGACATCAATGGATGTGATGATGTAGTTGAAAATTAAAAACTGATAAAATACCATGTTACACAGAATATGATTAAAATATGGACTCCACAGCTACAATAAGCTGGTGAAATAAAGAAATTTTAATGATTCCAAAATCAGTTTGCCACTTATATGGGTAAGAGTTAATGTCCATGTTGTCATATTTAGCACCAGTAAAAGTGTGAAGGGTAGATTTAATCTTATATTCTTAGGTTTTTCCAACCTTACTCTAAGAACAGTATCGAAGGCAAATTATTTCATAAAGCCCAGCTGAAATTAGCTTGTGCCATTTCTGAATCATTTGGTTTGGGCCATTGTTTGAAAACAGATGTTAGACAGATTATTGGCCTGTTCTAGAATAGCTCTACCTGTGTTTTTGTATTTAAACTTGCATGTCTGTCTGCGTAAGATTTCTACGCCAAGAATCAGTAGAAACTGAACTGTGGAAGCAAATGCCAAGATTTGAATGTGGAATTGCTTAAAGAGACTTGGGTCAGACAACTGACTGCTTTTTACTAAAGCTGCTATTTTGCTTTAAAACTGTGTACTGCTTCCTACCTGCAGTACAGTCACTAGCAAAATTTCACTAAGGCAAATGTCTTTACAGTCCTTAATGTTTTGATTCAAAAGAATGAATATCCCTTTAAAATATTTTTTTATAATGAGATGGATTGTCATTAAATAACAGCAATAGCATGAGACATAGATTGTGTTCATTAATGGAACTCAGTAGTTGTAAAATTATTCATAAACAGTAGTGGTATTTAAAATATAACTTAAGGTAACTATCTAAAGAGTGAAATAAAGTTTTCAGCTATATACAGGGTTTTTTGTGGTTGAACAAAATCAGTTTTATTAAATCAGTTGTTGAGTTTTGAAGACATCAGCTACATTTCCAATGAGGAAATAAATCAATGTAGAAAAACCCCACATTTTTCACTAGTAGTACATTTCATTGACTAGAATTCTAAACATGTCAAAAATATCATTTCCTCACTCCCAGGATATTACTGGTTTTGTAAATGCCGTTGCACATAGCTAATCTGTACTATTTTATTTTTTTTAAGTTATTCTGTATATCTATTTGCAACAGTAAATATTCTGGAATATGTGCAAGCACTTCTTAAAATCCATTATAACCCTCTTTAAAATGAGAATATTTTGTATATTCTGATTCATGTCCTTCATGGAGAACTGATAATTTCGCACCTTTTAAAATGTGAATTGATTGTTACTTTCAGCTTAAACTTGAGAAGTACATAAACTTATTACTGCTAGAGCTTATAAAAATACACAGGTGAAATCTGTCTCTCTAGGCACCCTCTTTCCTCTACTCTTCTGTTACATTATTATTCATTTCTGAAGGAGACAAGACTAAGCCTTTAATTTGGCCCATATAATAATTCCAGTGTCTTACAAATGTTTTTCATTTTCGTCTTGCTCTGTGCTATGTTTTCTGAGTCATTGATTCATCATACTAAAACAAGGTAATAGAACCCTTTTTGAGAAGGAAGTAGGTCTGAAGTAGCTTAGAAGTGGGTCTGAACAGCAAATTAAATAAAGAATCCATTTCCAATACAACTTCATGAGTGTGGGCAATGTTAGAAGTGGTGCTGTAGGTAAGCAAGATGCATTTTTATTCCACTGGTTTTAGTACTTTCTCAGTCTTGAGGATTCTCATCTTTAGTGTTTGAATTCAGTGAATAATCATTTCCACCATTTCTGTAAAAATGCTCTGGAAATACATGTGCAAAGTACTGACCAAAGGAATAAGATAAAATACAGGGAATGATAACCACCAGTGAAGATTAATGCTATAAAAGACAAAACTATTACAGCCACCAATAGTATTTAATGGGTAGCATCTCATGAAACTCTAAAGGAAAATATACTTTGAAAGAAGTATTTCTTTGAGAAGAAAATTTCTTTTAAGAAAATACTTTTTAAACTTCTTTTCTTCTGCTTTTAACCTCACTAAGCTACCATGCTCATGCTTTTTCAAGTTGTTAACTTTTGCTCTCTCTTGATAGACCTCATTAGTAATGGCAGTCTTTGTCCTACAGCAGCTGAAATGAATAGGAGGGGGGTTAAATTTTTCCTTAGAGTAAGACCCTTCATACATTTGCTTACTTAAATTACATTCACCTTTCTTTTACATGCAAGTACCTTTTTTGTAATATTAAAAGGCAAATAATATTTTTAGAGTATTATTGCCCTACGAGTAGTCAAGCCAAAGTTCTGTTGTGAAGTTTGATTATAAGTTTGTTTTTGAAATAGCAGAGGAAACTCCGGAACTCAGTTTCTTGATGACTGTATTCACAAATCAATTCTTCTTGGCTGGCTTGTCAAAATACGAGGGACTATAAGACTTAAATGAGTACAATAGTGTGAATGATATAACTAAACAGAAAAATGAATGGTCATTTAAAACAAGACTCCAGTTTTACCATCTGGACTACAAAGATATATAGCCCTGAGGTGTATATATAGTAAAATAATTAAAGATAACATCCCTGACCTGCATGAAAATTAAATGCCTTCAGTTTAAGTTTTAATCTTTATTTTCAATCCTGTCTTGGGAACGTACCATGTGTTCTTCCAGACACGCTTTTCAAATTTCAGAAGTTGGCCTCCTTGAAAATGGATGCTTTGGTATCTTTAAGTACATTTTAATTGGAAAATTTTCTTTTTATCTGCTAGACTTTTTGTTTATTTGATAATCAAAAGCCAAAATTTTTAGTATCATCCACTTTTAATTACACATATTATTTCATTATGCCATCAACACACTGTTATGTGTAGATGTAGGTAATTAATTGCAGTCAATTAATGTGTTCATAAAGAGATATTTTCATGCAAATCAGCTTTTATAATTGGAGCTAACAACATCCCTAGGTAGTCAGCAAATTAAAGAAATTGATGTTAAACCAAGACAGGTCATCTAATCTTGTGAAATGGCAGCTGTTAGCAGCAACCAAATGTCACATCAGGAAAAAGGGAGGAAGGTAATGGCAGAATGTGGCTTCTTTTGTGCTTATTAGTACAGTAAATTATGATATGTGGTGGCTAAGGCATGATCTTTTTTTCATTTCCTTGATGACACTGGAAATAAAGCTGATCTTGAATTAAGATTAAGTAATTTTTTTAATAATGCTTAGGAGAATAAAAAAATGTTTTGTTTCTACTTTATTGCTTTATGAAGGTGTCAGATCTCTTAAGTGAGATAGCAATTTAACACTGAAGTTGTAGCAAGAAAAAAATCTTCAGACATTGTAAATTTTAACTATAAATTAATGTGAAGATACCCTTTTTTGTCGGTGCTGGAAAGGATAATTCACTGACAATCTTGGAGAATTAAAAAAGAGGAAAATAGATGTTACATGCAGTTCTGCAACCCTGGTGATAAAATTAATACATAAGTACTTCACTGTCCTTCCCTTATAAATTTTTTTCAGAACACTCACCAGCATTCCATGTTTACTTTTTGTTTGTTTTGCAGACTGGGTGGCATTTTCTGTGCTTGAAAAGAATTATAAAAATATATCTACATTTTATATAGTAAAAAAATAATAATGAAAGGGGTAGAACATCTTAACAGGAATAGAGTATGTTTGCAATACTAGGGCTTAGCCCTGGTAATACAGTAGATTCAGTAATTTCGAAAAGTGAGCTACACGTAAATAGTTCTCCTCTGAGCTGTGAAGTGATACCTTGACTTTCTTCCCTCAGTTTTCCTGTGTTGTTATTTATTTATTCTGTTATTTATTAATTAGAGTTGTTTTTTCTTCCTGTCAGAAGTTAGGTTTTCATTGAAGTTCTAAAGAAATCATGCAAACTAATTTTTTTTCTATTTATAAATAGCCCCTTTTTAAATAAAACTTCAAAACAAGGAGATTAAATATGTATCTATATAATAAACCAAAAGTTTCTTGCTTGTATGTTGACACACTTTTATAAATGTACATTTGCTATTCCTACATATTTCTAGGGATTGTGCTATAACAGAACATAATTTTTATCTGTGTTTGGTATTCATAATTCTTTTATTTCAGTTGATTTGAAAAAAGTATGAATATTTATTCTTTCTAAGTACTGTAACATTTTTTTAAACTGTTCTTAACTTAGGTAGCTTGGTTCATCGAGGACAAGGCAACATACGCAGCAGTAAAACTCGGGACGTATCACATATTGCATTTGGATCAAAGATCCTTGGGCCACCTCCATCTTCCAACAGAAGAACCAGCACAAGGATATCTGGAGAGGTAAGAAGGCTTAAATTACAACAAAAGTGCTTCCCCTCCTACAAAGGAAGAGATTGATAAGCAGAGGAGTCACACTAAAGGTTTTTTTCAGAACTGATGTGAGGCTGTGTCTGGAGTACTGTATTTGGTCATGGACTGCCAGTGCGAGAGATACTGTACCATCCAGAGGAGGGCAAGTAAAATGCTTGGGTGGCTACAGCACCTGACACGGTTTGTCCAGCCAGCAGAAGAGAAAGCTAAGGGAGAATCTGGTTCCTATTTTCCACTAATGCAGGGTTGTAGAGAAGGCAGGCCCAGATTGTTCTAAGACAAGAGGCAGCAGTCCCAAATTGCATCAGGGAAGCTCTGACTGGGTATAACGATAAAATAGCGTGGTTCAGTACTGGGACAGGGTCATAGGGAGATTGTGGAATTTCAAAACTTTCAAAGATAACAGAACTTGACTGGAACAGGCTGATCTAATTTCAGCATTAT